GGGGGGGGGGCGGAACTGGGGATTGAACTCAGGCCTTTGCAAGGGAAGCACTTATTCCACTGAGCCATCTCCCCAGCCCCTAAAGGCTTATTTGTTATTCTTTGTGGAACTGGGGATTGAACTCAGGCCCTTGTGCTTGCCAGGTAAGTGCTTATTCCACTGAGCCATCTCCCTGGCCCCAACCCTAAAGGCTTTTATCTTTCCTATCTCTTCACTGTGCTGCCAAAAAACCTACCAAAAGTAAGATGAGCCCCAGGGATGTAGCTTAGTGGCAGAACACTCCTGGACTCAAGCCCTTGTTCCCTCCTCCAGAAAATTAAAGTATAAATAAGTTGTCAAAATTAGGAACAGACTACATGTCATTCCAGGCAGCGTCTGAGGGACGCACAGCAGGCAGAAGGGGGAGATGGAGCAGGTCTCAGCCGCTACTTGAGGGACAGGACCCAGCAGCAGGTGCCCCTGACCCTGCCTCACAACCTCCTCTGTGCTCCAGGTTGGCGACACCATGAATACCCGGTTCCTCTTGCCTCTGTGTTTTGTGCTGCTGCTGCTGCTGGGATGTGGTGAGCAGGGTCTCCAAGGAGGGGACGGGCTGCAAATGTCTTCCTAGCAAGGCCTTCTGGTCCTGCTGCCGCCTCTGTTTCCACATCTCCATGGCTACCCCACGGCCCCCTCAGCTCCCTAACACTGACCCTTACACCTGTTCTGCAGAGGTCCAGGGTGTCCAGCTGACCCAGGAAGACGAGCCTGCCAGCTTAGCCCTGCTGGCCCAGGTGCAGGAGACCCTCTCCAGCTACTGGGACACTGCCAAGGCGGCTGCCCAGGGCCTCTACGAGAAGACATACCTGCCCGCCATGGATGAGAAGATCAGGTAGGCCTGTGCCTCTGGGAGACTACTTCATCCGAGTCTCAAGAGCCCTTGCTCAGCCTCCTGCCTCAGACCCAGGGTCCAGGCCCAGCTCCTTCCTCAGACCCTCAGACCTGGGGTCTAGGCCTCTCCTCCACTACCCCTCTGTTTTCTCTCCAGGGACATGTACAACAAAGGCTCGGCAGCCCTCACCACTTACACAGGCATCTTTACTGACCAAATCATGACAATACTTCAGGGAGAAGATTGACAGCCAGGAGAGGGGGGAGCCCAAGCCCCAGCACCCCCCAGGATCCCCTGATTGTCCAAGGTGGGACTAAGCTCCTCTACCCCAGCACTTCTCAGCTTCCTGCCTCCAACTCTGGTCTGAATCTTATCAATAAATAATGAATAAACAAATAAAAACATCAGCTGTCTTTTATTCCCTTTGATGTGGCTGCCTTTCTGAGGCCTTAGGAACCAACATGGAGGGATTGATTCAGCCCAACCAGCATTGTAGGGAGCACCTACTGCAGGTAGGGACCCTGACCAGAAGCCTGGTGCCTGGGAATGAAAGAGGGGATGAATATGGACAATGAATAATCAGACACACAAGGGGTCACCTCTCTGCACTGCGGTCTGGCTTCCTCCTCTGTAGGACGGCAGATCACAACACAGGTAGTCCGCAGCGGCCTTTGGTATCATGCAAAGCCCAGGGTGACCCTTTTTTGTATTTATTTCGCCCGTGCTGGTTATGAAACTGAGGGCCTGACACACGCTGTGCTGCTGAGCTCTGCCCTAACTTTTGGTTTGACGCTTGAAATGTGCCACCTCTGAGTTTTCTGACATAGTGTTGTGACAGAGAGAATACTGACACCCACAAGTCCCTGTCAAGTTTAGGAAGTCAGTGCCCAGCGTGGTGGGGACCCAGGAAGACAGGAGGCTGAGGCCTGGGCTCCCTGACTATGCCAGTCTTTCACCTCCCATGCAATTAGTGCGCCCTGCTAAGCCCTGGGGACGCAGCAGGGAAAACAGACCTGTCCTCCCCTGGCCAGCTGGGGCCTGGGGCCTCTGCAAATGGTGTTAGTGAAACTGGCTCTCTAGCAGGTTTTGTCATCTCATCCCCTCTTATATGCTGAGGTACTAATGCTTCATTGAGAGGCCACAGAGAAAGCCCAACCCTCAGGGAGCAAGAAGAAAGCGGGAGAGCGTGTCAGACCCTGGAGGCCATGAGCAGGGGCAAAGGGAAGAGACCCAGGCCCGGGGAATGCCCACAGTCAGTAGCTAGTGTTGGGGCCCAGGATGGATCCCAAGATGACCAGGTGAGCAGGCTGGGGCTGGTCTCAGAGAACACTGTGCTGCCAGCAGGGTTGTGGTGAGCAGGAAGGTTCTGACTGGGCCCCAGCCTGGGTGAGGTGGTTAACCCAGTGGAAGAGGATATCCAGCAGTAGGAAAAGGTAGGTAAAAAGCACAGGGCCAAGCTGGACATGGTGGTGCACACTTATAATCTCAGCACTCAGGAGGCTGAGGCAGGAGAATCTCTGAGAGTTCAAGGCCAGCCGGAACTACATAGCAAGACCCTGTCATAAATAATAAAAGCATAGGGTCATACTTGCCTGTAACTCCAGCTATGAAGGAGGCTGACACAGGAGGATCACAAGTTCATGGGCAGGCTGGACTTCATAGTAAGACCTGAGCTAACAAAACAAAGCAAACAAGTAATAAATAGGCCAGGCATGGTGACACACGCATGCAATCCCAGCACTCAGGAGGCTGAGGCAGGAAGATTGCCATGAGTTGGAGGGCAGCCTGGAATACAATGAGTTCAAGTCCAGCCCGGACCACACCTATGGGTTCAACCTTCTTTACTGGGGAAAAAAAAAAGAAAGAAAGAAAAAAAAAAAAAAGAATAAAAGCGCAGGATGCACTTGAACACAGAGGCTCAGTGCCCCCAGGGGGAATGGGGCTGGGCCCATGGGTGCAGGGTCCTCAGGCGCCTGCGGCCCTGGGTGGGGCTGGGGAGCCGGCCTGGACACCTCCTGATCTGCTTGGCATTAACCCTAGCCAGTCTTTCAGCACTCTTGGGGCAACTTTCCCAGTCCTGAGACCAGGCAGCTGTAACCCAGTAGAAAACAGGGGCCCGGGAGGGGCTATGGGCAGTGCCCCAAAGTCCCCAGGGCCTGGGAAGAGCCGAGGTTGCCAGGCCCCAGGAGGGGGAGACCCTTCGGGAACAATCCCGGCTCTGTCCACTTGTTTCCCACGGACTCTGGCCAAACCAAACCACTGCACTGGCCAGCCGGGCTTCCAACCAATCCGGGTGCCATTTGCAAACTCCTCCTCCCTTTCTCAGACCCCCACTCTGCTCCCTGGAGGACCCAAGTCCAGGCTCCCAGACTCCTCCTTCCCAAGAACTCAGCAATTTGGGCCCTCGACTCCTCCTCCCTTAGACTCGAGTCTGCGTCCCAATTCCTTCTCAGGACCTAGAAGGCTGTCCCCTGCTGGGTACTCTTAGAAGCTGAACTCGCAGCCCCTAGTTGGTGGTGGGCGCCCCCTGGTGGAGGCCAGAGTGACCCTGCGCTGTGATTCACCGGCCAAGGGTGGGGTGCTGGTTGGTGACTGGGCCCCCGAGCAGAGCAGGGAACCAATTTTTTTTTCAAAAGCAGACT